AAGAAAACGATTATAAAAAAGAGGCACTCATGTAATCGACTCAGCCAAAGGTAGTTGTTGATCACAGATCTATTCGATCTCGTCTTGTTTGCATGATTATGGGGTCGCCCACCAATTAGAAAGTTAGGTTGGAATGTTCAGAGGCTCATTTCATCTCACATTCAGCAAAATTTATGCTAACAGAACTTCCATCTAGATAGAACACTTCTCATGGATGAACAATGACTTCGACTATTTTTTCCCAATAGTTCACCGGATTCACACAGGCCGCTAACTGAATTTTCATTCTTTTCAGTTTTGATCTAATCTTTCTCATGTCTCCTATATGTTGAAAGCATTATACTGCTATCTTATAAAATTGATATATATTATCTTATAAAAAAATACTGCTATCTTATAAAATTCTCTTCAGTAACAGCTAGCTAATTCTTTCATCAAATTCTCGTTCTTCCACTGCTCTCTTATTGCTTATCGGATTCTATTGTTGAACTGATTATCACTAGCGCATCAAGTACACTGCATTGAGTGGTTGAACTTGAAATGGATAATCGTCACTCATCGACCATAATTCCGAATCATAATTTCATTTATCGTTAGTGATAACAACTTGAAGACACACTTCTAAGATCTAAGACATTTGAAATAAATCAGAAATCATTCAGTAAACAGNGCGGAGAATCATCCATGTGAACGTAACAAGCTTACGATTAGTGTATTATTCAGTGAATGAAATAACCATGAGAGTTGAGTTTGACGAATGAGGAACAACTGACCTAGACCAATAAACTGGATCGGATGAACCACCAAATCGGGTTCTTGCCACTTCCAAAGCTTGCTCGCTTCGATAGGCAGACTCAACGTTTCGCTCAAATTTTTCTTTTCGTTGCTGTGGGGGTTTTTGCGTTTGCGCTTGACTTTGACCACCGATAATATTGTCGTAATCAGTGATAAACTCGCGAAGTGAACCGGATTTCGATCTGAAACGGACGAAAAAATAATCCATGATAAGGCATTAATTTGCTTTGAACGAGGAAGAAATGAGAAAGTTTCCAACTACAATGTGCTGTCACTGCTATTTGATTCAAATGGAAGGAGTTCACAAAAATCTGCTGGTTCCAAGTGGACACAGAAGCTTCGAATGTGCATAAATCTGTCAGCTGGACAAATCTATCTATCGCATAGATCAAAGTTGGAAATGAATCCATATTTCATTGCGAAACGAAATTCGCCATTTAAAAAGATGAACAATTAGTCACAGTTACTGGCGGCTTCTCAGACAACTTTTTCTTCTGCGATAAACGATGCATTCAGCTGTTTCTCATAAGTCCAGTTGCATCGTATCGTAACAGCGGACTCAATTGGATATTGAAACCTCAAAAAAGAAAAGCTTTCCCATGCTCCAACACATTTCCCTCGTAACTAATGAGCCTTCTTATGATAATGGCTCATCACGACGACTGTTATGGTTGCTCAATTCATTTGGTTTCAATTGTTGTTTTTTGGTTTCTTTTACTTTGATATCACATTTGATATGGTTTTTCGAACGAAGACCGGTTCGGCTGGTAAACAACGTTGTAGTGGAAAGAAAAACGGTTGCTGCTTGCGCCTTTCGAGGTTACATATAATCTGTCAAATTCGATGATAAATATGAATGGAGACAGCGCTTGAAATTCACTGCTGTTCATCTTGCACGTACTCGATCAGTTTAATATTATTTGAAGACAAAATTAGCAAAAGAAACTTTTTTTTAAAGTGTAAACAAATACACTCTCAACACTGTGTTGAAGAGGTCAATGTTCTCTTCAGAGTGCTGCTGCTAGAAGACGACGACGTTCGCTTAAAATAAACTCTTTTTAATTGACATTTCGAGGCGACGCGAGATCTTTGGTTGGGATTGGAAAGTGAATTTTTTGCACTGAAATCTCCTTGTATGTACCATTCCTAATCACCTTGAATTGTGTTCACACAGTTCGAGACGGCAATTCGAAGTTTTCAAATACATAGAAATCCAATTTATAAATGGTCATTGCACGGAAAAGAAGAGACAAAGCGGCAACGATGTAAATGATGTCTAACAATTCAAAAAAGCGTACGATCCTAATGANTTGTTGTGATTGCTGATTCAACGAAATGAACGAATAGATTTCAGTTGAGGGAAGTCAAAATCTGCGCTTATGATGAGAAAACATTTCGCTGTACCTCGCTTAAGATGAATTTCCAACGAAATTTCCTTGCTATCAGTGAGTATCAGACACAAAATTGTGTCTGCATGAAGCACACAAAAATATTTGTTTCCTATTTGTGTATGATACAGAAAATGCCAAATTCCTCGGTGAATGTCAACAAATGCACTGCTAAGACGATTCAAGAAAAGAGGATTAACACCAAAGAATAAATACACACGGTTTTACACAGCTCAATAACAATTCACTGAGTCATCAGTAAATTCTCTTCGATTAACTCATCTCTTTAGAGCAACTCCATCCACAGTGATGGTCGTCGTTGAGCATGGATTCTGAGCGAATACTAAACTTCTGATAAGTTTGACCCATTTCCTGGCTCACGTAGGTTTTCTTTCTGACGAAAGTTGATAAAAATTTCCGAGAATGGTGCATCATTAGTCAAGATGTTTGTCACACTTCAAGAATGCACAAGATATTCTCTGCTCACACAAAATATCATGAAACAATCGTTCATCATTGTCTATTTCTCAACGAGATAATTTCTCATCGACCAAAAGACATCTAAAAATTCGGAAACGTTCCGAATTTTCAGTAGATTGTTGCACAAAAATGGTGCTGAAACACTCAATAAAGTGTTATTATTCGGGAAGAGATGAATGAAAAATGATATTATTATTATGAAATTATGAAATGAAAAATCGCCCACCCGCATTCGCATTCGCAGAAAAAAAGCGCAGTTTGCGTGCTAACGTCGACCACATCTGTCTTAGTGAATAAATAGAAATTGAGAAGCTCACAAGAAAGTCGTATCATCGAAAATGTGATACTGTCAGATAATATCAGTCAATAGTCTGATGATATTATCACCATCCGCTTCTGTGAACACTCGTAAGTCGTGTGTGATGAGCTTAGTTGAGATTGAATGCGCCACAAAAAAAANAAAAAAAACAGAATTAAAGGAGAATCGTGGCTGATGATAACCCTATGTAAGATGTTGTTGGTGGGTCTATTGAGAAAAATTGATAAAATAAATTTTATGATGATGTAATCTCTCAGTGTTTCATTTCGTTTTTATGTGCATGCGTGTGTGTATGATTTCAGTTTGATCCCATTTGTCATTGATGGAGCAGCGAATGCGTTGTTGTAAAAATGATTATTCGCTGTAATGGCGGCGTTCTGGGTTTGTTGCGGGACCTCTGAGAATTGCAAATTTTTGACGGTTTTTTGATTGAGATGAACTAAGGTGTGGCGGCGACACAGAAATGATACGTACGTTTCATATTTTGTCATTCCACGAAACGTTCTCAACTAAATTGAGCGCACAAATCAGAGATGATTAATTACTGAAATTGGCCGAAAAGACAACTGATTACATAGATTTTGGATGATATCCGATTCATTCATCAACTAATCATGTTAACTGTCCGCAAAAGTCAGTCACTCATTCGATTCTTTATTCCGTCCTCAACTCTTGAGTTGTCATGATGATGACGATGATGATATTGGACATCGAAATATATTTCTGGCATAAAACCGTCTCTTCTCTATGGTAACGATGACAGCATTATTGAGATATTCTGCTGATTTCATCGTCGCCATACGCCTCACCAAAAGAAATAAATCATCATCGTGCCGAACGTTTCTATGCAACAANGTCACCCACAAACAGACCAAGTTCGCTACGAATCACTACTCAATTCGGTTGACTTGAAAAGACAATGTGATGTACTCGAGAAGAGAATTATGTTGTGTTGTAAGATGAATTTGATTGAGACGAGATGACTGAGCAGAGGACACCACCACCACTACTTTTGTTTGTGGCGTCGAATCACTTCTGTGAAAAACCAACAACGTAAATAGATGAGTTGGGCAATTTGAGAATGAGTTTAGTGTCGTGTCACGAGTTTTTTTCTTGGCAAAAATTGTTTTTCGGTTGATTCAGCGCAGTCGTCGAGAATTTTCCTCCTGCAATCTCAAGAACAGGGAGGGCACTCTAGAGAGGGAATTGAATTGAGGGCGGATGATTCTCAGCTCAGCTCACTGTTCGCTTGTTTCTAGATGTCCCTCGTTGCCGTTCTAATTTGGCTCTTTCTCCCTCTAATTTCCTATTGTCATCGTACTTCTTAGCTTTTATTTTGTTTTCCACTAATGTTTCCAGTTTTATTCACGAACGCAGCAACATTTCCAAGCGGCTGAAGAAAATTTCAATCAGTCGGCAAGGAAATTTTTAATCGAATGAGGCAGAAAATGATGCGAAAAAACGGCGAATTTATCGCCCGTGAAGGTCATGAACATTTTGGCGGAATTGATTCGATTTATAAGAAACAATTGATGAAGTAAGTGCTGTGGAATATTATTAATAAAATGCATGTAATTCGCTAATTTATCGTTGCCGATTCCGGTTTTGTGGTTTTGGACCGAAAAGGTTTGTTTTTTTT